GTATCTCTGTAACTCTTTGATGAGTTGTTCCACATCGCGTTTTGATTCAGCAAGTTCACGTTTGAGGCTATCATTTTCCAAACATTTTTTCTTGTTGACCCGTAGAGACTCTTGAAATTTTTCTTCAACAATTATAAGCATCTCCCTTGGATCTACGTCACTATCAGAGTCACCGTCAACACTATGGAAAGTTGGAAAAACACAGCATGTTTCAGCACTGTCTTTAACACACTGCTTCTCTTTTTCAACGAGGATGACATGCTGTTTTTTACGTCGTAGATCTTCATGCATCTCCAACTCAATGGTTTCTAAGTTCCCCATCAGTTCATCAAGAGACATAACATTGAGAGATTGTGCTTGTCTAATAGCTTTAACATCCATAGAGTATTTTTCTGGAAGAGACCGTAGCACTTTCAACACCAATTTGTTTTCTGTAAGTGGTTCACCAAGCCTTTCAGCCTCATTTGCCAACTCTCTAACTCGCCCATGAAAATTTGTGATAGACTCAGTATCCTCCATTTTAAGATTTTCAATTTTAGACATCACGATCTGAAGTTTGGCTGTCTTGACTGTAGTAGTGCCTTCATGAGTAATAAGCAAAATGTCCCAAGCTCTCTTGGCCTCTATGCAATTTGAGATAAGACGGAACTGATTTCTGTCAACCGCTCCGAAGATTGCATTCAAAGCCTGATCATTCGATTCTGCAGCATCCTTCTCTTTCTTGCTAAATCTTTCATAAGGTTTCTGAATTAGTTCTCCATCTGCATTGGTCATAGTAGGAGCTGACCATCCAACCTCTATGCTCCTCCAAACCTGTCCACCAAGAGACTTGAGAAAGGCTCTCATTCGACACTTCCAAAAAGTATAATCATGGCCGCATAATAGTGGAGGTCTAAAAACATTAGCACCTTCTTGAATATCTCCCATGGTGATAGATCAATAAAGCTAATAACTTAAGCTTGCCAAGCTCTGATACCAATTGAAATTCCAGCACTCACAAGCAAATAACCACAACAGCAAACAAACAATGGCAAAACAGTTATTGAAGGAAGTGTTGCAGCTTTAGAATACGCAGGATGCTACAACACCTTCTTCAACAGTCACACACACAAACAGAATAATGAACACACCAAGACACAAAGATTTGTTTACGCAGTTCGGAGCAGTATCTCCTACGTCTGCGAGGCCCACATCCGTGTAATAGCCTTTCCACTAGATCAACGTAAGAATTACACTATCAAACTTCAATAGAACCTTCCAATGAATCTGATTTGTCTACTTACGAGATCTGACAGCAAACTCGGTTTGTGTCTTCACCAGGCCTATTACACCTTCTTCTTGCTCTGCACGAAGGATGTGTTTCTGACCTTTGCTCAGCCCACCAGGTTGCAACAGCTGAACAATATCTAGAGAAGATCCATGGCTGATCTTCTCATGCACTTTTCTCACAGGTTTCTATTCTGATCGGAATTGTGGTGATCTCACGCTCTCTCCTTGAATATTCTGAGTGTATTTCTGCGGGCTATTCAGAAGCTCATAAATCAAGATTGAACCGTTGGAATTCGATCTCCACCGTTCAGATTGAAGATCCACGAGTCCTTAAACTCCTCCCAAAATTTCAGCACGATCGGACAAGA